GGCATCTGGAAGAGCGCGGGCGGCGCCACCTGGCCCGGCTGCAGCTGGATGGGCGCCGACAGGATGTGCGCCGTGCCCGCCGCGCCGGGCGACGCCAGCACCGGGCCCAGGTTGAGCTGGCCCGCCAGGTTCTGGTTGAGCAGCTGCGCCGGCAGCGCGGGGTTGGTCAGGAGCTGGGCGCCGCCGCTCTGGCCGGCGATGATGTGCGCCTGGCCCGCGCCGGGCAGCAGCTGACCGCCCACGTTGGCCGGCAGCGCCGACAGCGGCTGCGGCAGCGGCACGGCCGAGGCTCCGGCCAGCTGGCCGGGCAGCAGGAACTGGTTCTGGCCCTGGAAAGGCTGCGCCGGGATGACGATGGAGCCGCCCTGGTTCAGCACGTGCACGCTCATGGAYTTGCCCAGCGCCGGCGGCTGCGGCGGCGGCGGTTTGAAGACGTTCGGGGGGAAGCCCTGCAGCACCACGTTGGGCGCGGCTTTGCCGGCCATGAAGGTCAGGTTTTGCTGAGCCTTGGCCGGAGCCTCGCYGGGCAGCGCCAGGGTCCCGCCGGCGCCGAAGGGTTTGGGCGTGATCTGGTAGAGTTTCTGCTGCAGCACCCCGGCCGGCTTGGGCTGGATGGGCGTGGGCGTGCGGTGGATGATGACGTTGGGCGCGGGCACCAGCGAGCCGCCCAGCCCCGAGGTGACGGTCAGCGGCTGCGCCGAGGCGGCCGAAACGCCGCCGAACACCGAGCTGCCGTTGAGCGTGGTGGTGGCCACGGCCGGGAGGCTCTTCTGGATCACCAGCCCGGCACTCTGCGACGCGGTGGCGGTCTCGGGCTGGGCGATGTACCCCCCCACGGTAGCCACGGGCGCSGGTTTGGTGGCCAGCAGCTGCGGCGCGGCCGGCTGGTTGATGGCCATCACCTGCTGGCCCACCACCTGGATGGGGCCGAGCCCCAGCGCGCCGCCGGGGCTGCCGTTGGGGAGCCCGGGCAGGTTGGGCAGCGGCTGGATGGTGACGTTGCCCAGCCCCACCTGCTGCAGGAAGGGCTGCACGCTGATGGCTTTGTTGACCACGTCCGGCGGCTGCACCAGGGCCTGGGGCGCCAGCACGGCCGGCGGCTGCAGCCCCAGCAGATCGGCGCCGCCCGGGAAGATCTGCGCCGCGCCCTCGGCCGCCTGCACCACGGGCTGCAGCGCCGGCAGCTGGAACGAGCCCAGGTCCAGCTCGGCCTCGGCCTCCAGCGTCTGCTCGGTGATGTTGGCCTCCTGCAGGCTCTGCTGCAGGATGTCGCACGGCTGCTCGGCGCCCGCGCCCGCGCCGCCCGGGGAGCCCAGGATGTCATCCTCCAGGAAGTCCAGGTCCACGCTGGCCGGCGGCTGGCTGGGCTCCGAGCTCAGAGGGTTCCCGGGAGCCTCCTGCCCGTGGAGCTGCGGCAACGGCAACGGGGGCGGAGTCAGAGCGGGGCAGGGGGGTGAGGGAGGGGAACGGGGACCCCACAGAGCACAGCGGAACCCGCGGGGAGTCAATGGGACCCAAAAGAACCCAATGGAACTCTATGGGAGTCAATGGGATCCAATGGGGGTCAATGGGATCCAATGGAAACCAATGGGAGTCAATGGGATCTGGTGGAAACCAATGGGAGTCAATGGGATCCAACAGAACCCAAGTGGGAGTCAATGGGATCCAGTGAAACGCAAAAGAACACAACAGAACCCGGCGGAAGTCAACGGGATCCAGTGGAAACCAATGGGAGTCAATGGGATCCAATGGGAGTCAATGGGATCCAACAGAACCCAGTAGGACTCAATGGGATCCAATGGAACCCAAGTGGGAGTCAATGGGATCCAATGGAACCCAATGGGATCCAATGGAAGTCAATGGGATCTGGTAGAACCCAATGGGAGCCCAATAGGATCCAGCGGAACCTGGTGGGACTCAGTGGAACCCAAAAGAACCCAAAGGAACCCAACAGGACTCAACAGAACCCAAAAGAACCCAATAGGACTCAATGAGACTCAATGGAACACAACAGGACCCAATGGAACCCCAAGGAACCCAATGGGATCCAACAGAACCCAATCAGATCCAATGGGAGTCAATGGGATCCAAGGGAACCCAAAGGAACCCAACAGAACCCAATGGGATCCAATGGGATCCAAGGGAACCCAAAGGAACCCAACGGAACCCAATGGGAGTTAATGGGATCCGGAGGAACTCAAAGGAACCCAAAAGAACCCAAAGGAGCTCAATGGGATCCAGAAGAACCCAAAAGAGCTCAATGGGATCCAGAAGAACCCAAAGAAACCCAAAAGAACCCAATGGAACCCAACGGAACCCAAAGGAACCCAAAGGAACCCAACGGGATCCAACGGGACCCAATGGAACCCAATGGAACCCAACGGGACCCAATGGAGCCCAATGGAACCCAAAGGAACCCAATGGAACCCAAAAAAACCCAACGGAACCCAAAGGAACCCAAAGGAACCCAACAGAACCCAAAGGAACCCAAAGGAACCCAATGGGATCCAATGGGACCCAACAGATCCCAAGCAACTCAACGGGATCCGACAGAACTCCCGGAACTCAACAGAACTCCCGGAACTCAACGTTTTTGGGCTTTCCGGCACCAAAATCCCACAATTCCCGTGCTTTTCCCACCCCGAAATCCCAAACTCGGAAGAACAAAGAGGATTTGGGGGAAATAGAGGGAAAAATGGGGAAATAACAGAAAACGCTGAGGAGGATCTGCGGGGAAAGGGGAATCCACGGGGAAAAAAATGGGGAGAAAAACGAAAAACGGGGATTTTGAACGGGAAATAAGAAAAACCGACCCCAAACGAAGGGAAATTAAGGGGAAAATAGGGAAAAATAAGGGGAAAAATAAAAGGAATAAAAAATAATTTCATGCTGGTTATCCATGCAGAGTATCCCATGCTTTGGGGGGAAAAGGAGGGAAAAAAGGGAATTTTGGGGCTCTCATTCCGAATTTATTTCGCATTTTTTTGCCTGCACCTGCGGGGAGTCCTGAGAAACTGGGAGGAACTG